AAGAAAGGAAGAACAAGAAGGCAGCAATTAACAACAGCCGAACACGAGCAGAGAAAGTCCAAGCACAAGCTGAATACATAGAAGCAAACAAACAAGTGAAGAGGAGCATTAGAGCCGACAAGAAGAAATACGTGGAAGAACTAGCAACGACGGCAGAAAAAGCTGCTAGAGAAGGAAATATGAAACAGCTTCACGATACAACGAAGAAACTAGCAGGGAAATACAGTAAACCAGAGAGGCCGGTCAAAGACAAAGAAGGCAAGCCAATCACCGAAATTCAACAACAGCGTAACAGATGGGTAGAATACTTCGAGGAACTCCTGAATAGGCCGGCTCCAATGAATCCACCGGACATCGAAGCAGCACACATAGATCTTCCTATAGATGTCAACCCACCAACGACGGAAGAAATTAGAATGGCCGTCAGACAAATCAAGAACGGGAAAGCAGCAGGACCCGACAACATACCAGCTGAAGCACTGAAATCAGACATCGAAGCAACCACAAGCATGCTTTACCTTCTATTCAAAAAGATTTGGGAGGAGGAACAAGTGCCGATGGACTGGAAAGAAGGACACCTCGTCAAGATTCCAAAGAAAGGAGATCTGAGCAAATGTGAAAACTACAGAGGCATTACACTACTGTCAATACCAGGGAAAGTCTTCAACAGAGTGTTGCTGAACCGGATGAAGGATGCAGTAGACGCCCAACTTCGAGATCAACAAGCTGGATTCCGTAAGGATCGGTCGTGCACAGACCAAATTGCAACACTACGGATCATCGTCGAACAATCAGTTGAGTGGAACTCATCACTATACATCAACTTCATTGATTATGAAAAGGCATTCGACAGTGTAGATAGGAGGACATTATGGAAACTTCTTCGACACTACGGAGTTCCTCAGAAGATTGTCAACATTATCCGGAACTCATACGACGGACTACAGTGCAAAGTAGTGCATGGAGGACAGCTGACAGATGCATTCCAAGTAAGGACTGGAGTCAGACAAGGCTGTTTACTCTCTCCCTTCCTCTTTCTTCTGGTGGTCGACTGGATTATGAAGACCTCAACATCTGAAGGAAAACACGGAATACAATGGACAGCTCAGAATCAATTAGACGATTTGGACTTCGCAGACGACCTAGCCCTCCTATCACGTACACACGAACAGATGCAGATGAAGACAGCCAGTGTAGCAGCAGTCTCTGCATCAGTAGGCCTCAGCATACACAAAGGGAAAACCAAGGTCCTCAAATTCAAGGCGGAGAACAGCAATCCAATCACTCTTGATGGCGAAACTCTGGAAGATGTAGAGTCCTTCACATACCTGGGAAGCATCATCGATGAACAAGGAGGTTCAGATGCAGACGTAAAGGCGAGGATCGGCAAAGCAAGGGTCGCATTCCTACAATTGAAGAACATATGGAACTCAAAACAACTTTCAACCAATATCAAAGTGAGAATCTTCAATACGAACGTCAAGGCAGTTCTACTGTATGGAGCTGAAACTTGGAGAACTACAACAACCACAATCAAGAAAGTACAAGTATTTATAAATAGCTGTCTACGCAAGATACTCAACATCCACTGGCCGGATACCATCAGCAATAGCCTTCTGTGGGAGAGAACAAACCAACTTCCAGCTGAATTGGAAATTAGGAAAAGACGATGGAAATGGATAGGGCATACATTACGTAAATCGTCAAACTGCATCACGAGGCAAGCCCTAACTTGGAACCCTGAAGGGAAGAGGAAAAGAGGAAGGCCAAAGAACACATTGCGTCGGATAATAGAAGCAGATATGAAAAGGATGAATTACAACTGGACGGAGCTGGAAAGGATTTCCCAGGACAGGGTTGGATGGAGAATGCTGGTGAGCGGCCTATGCTCCTTCACGAGAAGTAACAGGCGTAAGTAAGTAAGTAAGTAATGTTCGTACGGTGTGGGACATCGGGAGAGCTTTTCAAATTCCTGCGGAAATGAGAAGATACAACCCAGAGGTGCTTGGGATCAGTGAAACACATTGGACGCAAGTTGGACAACAACGACTAACTACAGGAGAGCTTCTGTTATACTCCGGCCACGAAGAAGAACATGCCCCACATAAACAAGGAGCTGCATTGATGCTGTTCAAACGAGCACAAAATGCACTTTAAGGATGGGAATCTCATGGACCAAGGATCATCAAAGCCTCGTTCAAAACAAAGAAAGAGGGCATTTCAATGAACATCATCCAATGCTATGCGCCTACCAACGACTACAATGAAGACGCTAAAGATCAATTCTACAATAGGCTGCAGTCAATCGTCGAGAAGTGCCCAACAAAGGACCTGACTATTCTGATGGGAGATTTCAACGCCAAGGTTGGAACGGACAACACTGGATATGAAGACATCATGGGACGACACGGACTGGGAGAAAGGAACGAAAATGGTGAGAGATTTGCAAACCTATGTGCCTTCAATAAGCTGGTCATAGGCGGCACCATATTCCCACATAAACGCATACACAAAACCACATGGACTTCACCGGATCACACCACGCAAAACCAAATCGACCATATTTGCATCAACAAAACGTTCAGGAGGACTATAGAGGACGTGAGAACCAAGAGAGGAGCTGATATAGCATCAGATCATCACTTGCTGGTCGCCAAGATGAAATTGAAACTCAAGAAGCACTGGACAACGGGGCGGACAATATCACAAAAGTTCAATACGGCCTTTCTTCAGGATACTAACAAACTCAACAAATTCAAGATAGTCCTCAGCAACAAGTTCCAGGCCTTTCATGATCTACTCAATGGAGAAGGAACTACTGTGGAGAGCAACTGGAAGGGGATCAAAGAGGCAATCACTTCAACATGTCATGAGGTCCTGGGTCACAAGAAGCACCATCACAAGGAATGGATCACTGTTGATACACTGGATAAGATTCAAGAAAGGAGGAACAAGAAGGCAGCAATCAATACCAGTCGAACAAGAGCAGAAAAAGCCAAGGCACAAGCTGAATACACAGAAGTAAACAAACAAGTGAAGAGGAGCATCAGAACCGACAAACGTAAATATGTGGAAGATTTAGCAACGACGGCGGAAAAGGCTGCAAGAGAAGGAAACATGAGACAACTGTATGACACGACAAAGAAACTCTCTGGAAATCGCCGCAAACCAGAACGACCAGTGAAAAGCAAGGAAGGCGAGGTAATCACCAACATTGAAGAGCAACAAAACAGGTGGGTAGAACACTTCAAAGAACTCTTGAATCGACCAGCTCCACTGAACCCACCCAACATCGAAGCAGCACCCACGGACCTCCCAATCAATGTTGGCCCACCAACAATTGAAGAAATCAGCATGGCCATCAGACAAATCAAGAGTGGCAAAGCAGCAGGACCGGACAACATCCCAGCAGAGGCACTAAAAGCAGACGTAGCGGCAACTGCAAGGATACTCCACATTCTCTTCAATAAGATTTGGGATGAGGAACAAGTACCAAAAGACTGGAAAGAAGGACTTCTGATCAAAATACCGAAGAAAGGCGATCTCAGCAAGTGTGATAACTACAGGGGCATCACTCTTCTCTCAATACCGGGAAAAGTCTTCAACAGGGTATTGTTAAACAGGATGAAGGACTGCGTAGACGCCCAACTTCGTGACCAACAGGCAGGATTCCGTAAGGATAGATCGTGTACAGACCAAATCGCAACTCTACGGATCATTGTGGAACAATCAATTGAATGGAATTCATCACTCTACATCAACTTCATTGACTACGAAAAGGCATTTGATAGCGTGGACAGAACAACACTATGGAAACTTCTTCGACACTACGGCGTGCCTCAGAAGATAGTCAATATCATACAGAGTTCATATGATGGATTACACTGCAAAATCGTGCATGGAGGACAGTTGACAAAGTCGTTCGAAGTGAAGACCGGTGTCAGGCAAGGTTGCTTACTCTCACCCTTTCTCTTTCTCCTGGTGATCGACTGGATCATGAAGACGTCAACGTCTGAAGGGAAGCGCGGGATACAATGGACATCTAAGATGCAGTTGGATGATCTAGACTTCGCAGACGATCTGGCCCTTCTATCCCAAACGCAACAACAAATGCAGGAGAAGACGACCAGTGTGGCAGCAGCCTCAGCAGCAGTAGGTCTCAATATACACAAAGGGAAAAGCAGGATTCTCCGATACAACACAGAATGCACCAATCCAATCACAATTGACGGAGAAGATTTGGAAGATGTAAAAACCTTTACATATTTGGGCAGCATCATTGATGAACAGGGTGGATCTGATGCAGATGTGAAGGCGCGGATCGGCAAAGCAAGAGCAGCATATTTACAACTGAGGAACATCTGGAATTCAAAGCAACTGTCAACCAACACCAAGGTCAGGATTTTCAATACAAATGTCAAGACAGTTCTACTGTATGGGGCAGAAACCTGGAGAACTACGAAAGCCATCATCCAGAAAATACAGGTGTTTATTAACAATTGTCTACGCAAAATACTTCAGATCCGTTGGCCGGACACTATTAGCAACAACGTACTGTGGGAGAGAACAAACCAGATCCCAGCGGAGGAAGAAATCAGGAAGAAGCGCTGGAAGTGGATAGGACACACATTGAGGAAAGCACCCAACTGCGTCACAAGACAAGCCCTCACATGGAATCCTCAAGGCCAAAGGAAAAGAGGAAGACCAAAGAACACATTACGCCGGGAAATGGAAATAGACATGAGAAAAACGAACAAGAATTGGATGGAACTAGAAAAGGAGGCCCAGGACAGAGTGGGTTGGAGAATGCTGGTCGGCGGCCTATGCTCCATTGGGAGTAACAGGCGTAAGTAAAGTAAGTAAGTAAGTAAGATCTTATAGATTAGGTTTTCACGTCACAACACATCTACAATTTTGGGGGTTTGGTGTGCCGTTATGGTAGTGATAATATTGAAATAGACCGCAGTTCTACACACCCACGTTCGCAGTTCTTCACAATAATGATTTCAACAAGTAAGTTATTCATAGAGTTTTTGCTAGTTATGTTTCTAAACCCTATAACTATTACGTCCTACAACCAACAAATACGAATAGACAGCCATAACCAACCAATAAGTAGTGAGAATTTGAAAGGCTAATACGTTTTGCGTGACAGTTGGCAAAATATTAAGCAGTCACAAACAAAAAAGAATGCAAGACCAACGTTTACCAGTTTAATACCATTATTGTATTTTAGACAATCATTTACATACATACAAGACCAGACAACACAGCAGGCCATTCGGGTAACAGTTTTAACGTGGAAGAACATGATTAGTGATGAGAAAACAGAAAACTGGGTACATGAACAATTAGTTCTAGTTTATGAGTGGAAAATACTGTAGTAAGAGGTTACGGTTTAATAAAAGCTTAGAACTATGTCAATAGGAAAATAATAAGACCAAAATACTTAATGAACATGTAATCAACATGTACAAATAAAATTGTAGGAAAATAGACTCCAAGGATCTTGCCCTATAGATGAATCGTTTCCTACAGCACTTCCTTTTTTTTTACAAAACCATTAATACACCTGTAATTAGGGTTCGTTTTGATCCTAGTTAATTTTCTTCTGATCCGTTGGGATATTTTTAAGAAGGGCTTCATATTTTTCAGCGGTGTTTTAGTTTCTTTTCTGAAAGTTACTTCTGTCCAAGAAAGCGCATCAATCGTCCCAGAACCTGGTACCGCACAGTACGCAAGCAAGAAAATTGGTACTAATTCCTCTAATTTTCCCTTTCCTTGGGTTTTTCTCAATATTCTCTTGAAATTGTCGATTAACCCTTCAGCCTGCCTATTTGACCGCGGGTAGTATGAAGAATTCTTGGCACGTTTAATGCCGTTCAGAGTGCAGAAACGATGAAGTCCTAATGATGAAAACTACGGACCATTTCTGGAGACTATCACTTACGGAAACTCGAGACGGTCAAATATTTGAAGTAGTTTATCCAATGTCATGATGGTTGATGTATTATCGGTTATATAAGGAACGTGTCAATGGTGATTAACAAATATTTCCTTTTAATGAGCCTGACAAAATCTGCATGCTTTCTCGAGCACGAGTGTGTAGTGACCTACTTTTACCAAGAGAACGTGATTGGTTTAATGGGAACAATCATTATTATGACCCATTGTACCAGTGTTTACATTACTGTGCCCGTTTGTTTAACTGTACTAAAGACATCCATTACTCCTCCATTATTCTTCCGTTGACTGTGACCTTGTACGCACGCACGTCCTCCCATTGATTCCACTTGTATTTCCTTTGGCACGATCTTGCCATACTTTCGATAACACGAGATCGCCAACGAATAAACCTCGTTACAATCTCCTTCCGCCTTCTGATTTTCAGATCAGTGCTCGTCTTGTAGTGGTGATCACAGTCAACCTCGACTCGACACCACACTACAAGTGTGTCCTGTTTGACCAGCGGCAAAGTTCAGTCCTCCGAGAGGCTTTCGAAGCTTTGGCTTATTTGGAGCACCTTACCACAGAATCTTCGACTTCTCCATCAATGATTAACCAATATGCATAACTCCTAGCCAATGCTTTTTTCAAACAATACGTGGATGCGCAGAGTGAAACTGTGTCAGAACTTTACGATGTGTTTTACTAGCATTTAGCAGTGAGAGCCAACAAATTAGAGACGACAAATGATGCTTAAAGACTCACAGACTGTTATAGTTGCACACTTAATATCACTTTCTGACACGGGTGTTGTTTGTATTTTATGAAATTCCTTGATCGTGAGAAGCAAAGCTAGCCCATCCTTTCCTATTTGACTATACTTTCGTTCTGTCGCATAATTCATAGATTTTTCCTTACCATCTGGAATACGATAGCTAGTAAAAACACCAACAACATAATTAGAAGCATGAGCATCAACAATTATTCCCCATTTAGGGTTATAATGAGTCAACAGTAATATAGAGGGTAAGATTTATTTGATTTCATCAAAGGTATCACAATACCTACGGTAAGTTCCCCAGGTTTTCCATCAATTCCTGCATTTTTTTCCAGCCTCAAATCTCCTGTTACGATTATTTTTTTCCAGGGAACTCCCTCGCTGGAGCGCGTTACTTTCAATCGCATTCGAGTAAATATAACCGTCAGCTATATATCACAAACATACTGTGCTATCTCGACTGATTGGTTGGTCGACGCGGATGGATTGATCGAAGATGAATGGAATAAGTTTAAGGCTACATTCGAGTCCGTAACGTCACCGTTTATCCCATGGTCAGCACGTAAGCTATCACATTGCCCTCCATGGATTAATAAAGAAACCCGGAAGCTGTTAAAGCGTAGGAAACATTTCTGGGGCTTATTTTTGTTGACAGGTCATGCACCATTTAAGCGTGAGTACCGAAAATTCCGTAATATGTGTAAGAAAACCATAGCCAAATCCCTTACCACTTACGAACGACAGTTAGTATATGATAGCCGTACTTGTCCGAAAAGATTATTTTCGTATGTTAAACGGTGAATGGAACGTAGTGATGGTATTCCTTCGTTACTGTTACACGAAAATTCAGGTTTACTAGCTGAATCAAATCGAGCAAAAGCAGAGACTTTTTCGAACTATTTTAGCGGAGTCTACTCTACGTCTTGTAACAAATACTTGTCCCAATCACACCGAGATACCAACCATTGAATCTGTACTGGTGACTGAGGAAACTGTCCTTCCGTCGATAACTAATATCAAACCTGGTAAGATACCGGGCCCTGTTGGGTTACATCCACGGTTGTTGTCATCTCTGGAGGACATTATTTCAAAACCGCTCGCGACACTTCAACATGTCCCTTTCACTCGCTCAACTCCCTAGAGATTGGAAAGACGCTATAGTCATTACCGTATTTAAGGATGGTCAGAGACAGATCGTATCTAACTATCGGCCTTTCAGTCCTAGCAGCATAGTCGTTGAGCCACTTGAAAAGATAATTCGGGTTAGATTGCTAAGTCACATAGATTCACACAATCTGTTAGCTCCTGAGCAACACGGGTTTTGACTAACTTATTGCGAGAGAGGACTGGACAGCAGCCTCAGATAAAGGCTTGTCTGTCGATGTGATATTCATAGATTTTAACAAAGCACTTGACAAGGTTTCACACGTAGGTCTTATGCAGAAGCTCACGAGATTCGGAATAATATATACTGTACAGGAGTGGATGGGAAACGTCTTAGGGGACCGCAGACAGAGAGTGAGGGTCAACGGAGCGCTATCCGATTGGAAGTCGGTCAAAAGTGGTGTACCCGAAGTCACCATCTTAGACCCTCTGCTCTTCCTTCTCTACGTTAATGAGTTACCGCTGTTACTTAGGTCGTCGATATTATTGTTTGCGGATGATGTAAAAATCTGGAGAACAATAAAAAGTGCGGCTGATCATCTGGATCTTCAAGCTAACTTAGACGATTTAGTTAGATGGGCTCGAGAGTGGGGCTTAGAAATCAATGCTAGGAAGAGTGTGCTAATGCACGTCGGTCACGGTAATAGTTACCGTTATACTATTGAGGGTAAACCTCTTCCATGTGTTCAAGAGCATAAAGACTTAGGAGTAGTATTAAGTCATGATTTAAAAACAACTACGCATTGCAAAGCAGCCGCTGTCAAAGGTTTTCGGGCGTTATGGTCACTTTGCCGAGCGTTCAAATCTTTTGACGAGGAAACGTTTCTAATTTTATACCCCATATATGTAAGACCACATTTAAAGTACTGTATCCAAGCACCTAGCCCATGTCTGGTAAAGGATACTAACTCTCTTGAGCGTGTCCAGCGTGTAGGAACGAAATTAGTGAAGGGTCTTTCTAGAATCCCTTACGATGAGCGTTTAAAACGCCTAAATCTTTTCCCCTTGTCGTATCGTAGGACACGAGGTGAACTTATACTGGCATTTCGTATCTTTAATTATGATTTGGGTGTTAATGTCTTATCTCTTTGCTCTTTCCAGCACTAGTAACCTCCGAGGTCATAGCAAGAAGGTTCATAAACCACGATCTAATAAACTTAAAGTGGGGTCCTGTTTTTCTCACCGAGTAGTCAATGATTGGGACGCCTTACCCGAACAAGTGGTATCAGCCCCATCAGTGATTACTTTCAAGGAGAAGCTGGACCTTCACTGGAAAGCAATGTGTCAGGATTAATACAGGTTCACCAACCTACTATCTTTATTACTGAAGACTGAAGACTAACGTGTTGACAAGCACTGTATCTTGTTAAATCACCATGCTTTCACCTTCCATGATCTCTTCCTAATAGGAGCATTATCTTGTATACCAATGAACTACACCCGGAGAATGCCAAATAAATTGAGACAAACTAAATACAAATTATGACGTTAGATCATGCGGTTGTTTGAGTAGACTGCGCGACGTGTTTCGGTTTCGTTTTCTCCCCGGATTAGTTAGAGACTGTACCGAAGTCAGTGTGTTCCTACTGGTTAGTGACTTCATTTTTCTCCGTTTAGTGACCCGATGGAAGTTTCAAATTTTCGCTAAGAACACTTTTTTCATAAAGAGGGGTTAAGGACATGATGATTGTAGGGAGTCAACATAATAACAAATGTAATAAACCCTAGTAGAAAGCACTTATGGACCACTTTATTCTGCATCTAGGATTCAGTTCTCTAGTTAACCGGAATTTATTATAGCTGCATATGAACTTTCGTTTCGAAGTCTCCTAAAATCTTGTTAAAACAAGTTCTATTTTTGGTACATAGGACGAACAATCAGGTAGTTGACTAAGGCAACGTTTATTTGTTTCATCTTTATGACTGGTATGGTTAGCTGGTATTACTGGTTTTGAGGCAAACCCCAAATGACTCCTATTTTTCTTCCACTGATCATGTAATATTTCAGACTTTGTGTTGTGGAAGGCTTGTATATGTATGGTTGGTGGAAATTAACAGACGAAATAATGTTTTCGCGTGTTGTGTAATTCAGGCTTAGTATTGGTAGTTAACATTGTAGCGGTCACTTTTAGTGAGTCTTGTCGTCTGGTATCCTTTTGAAATCCCTAATGAGTAACATAATATGTACTTTGAAGCAGTTTTTAGTATCTGATAAAATAATAGTTTTCAATAAATAGCTAGCGGCTATCGTACTTCGTAAGTAAATACTTTCTTGGGGATGTAGTTTTCATTTTCTGTCGACTATACGGCGCTAACACCATGTTGGTAGTCACTCCGTCCGTTTAATGCCCATATAGTAAAAATAAATTTACTCAAATTAATCGTTAAGTACAACCATGTGAACAGCGTCACTGCAGGGACGATGTGTGAAACGATTTTATGGTTGGAACTCGTCCATTTGATTAATAGCTTGAGCATTTTTCTGTCCGCTCTTTAAGCGACTTAGGGAGTTATATCATTTGTAGGGGTTACATGTAAGCAGAGTTTGGACAATCTTCACTAAAATATGTTTTGCTGAAATTTAGGCGTAAACTGATTAAATCCACATCACACTTGAGTACATCTAGAAAAGCTAACAAATGAAACGGTAGAACGTAGTGATGTTGAAATTAGGAAGTGGAGGATACCCTAGTTAATAGTATGAATTAATTCAAGAACTCAGTTCATCAGGGGTTGGGTATAATTGTGGACAAATGCTTTCCGGATAAAAAGTAACGTCATCTACCAGAAGTTGGCAAACAATTAGATTCAGCTAGTGACCATTTGACCCGATTGAATGATCCTACGAACCAGTTACTCGTTTTGGATTAAAATTCAAGTTTATTCAAATAAGTGTACATAAAACGTAAGACTTTCAAGCCGTGTTTCCATTTCTTGCAACTAATTTTGTTTCTTGGAAAAATTATGTAGAAAACATCAATGGCTCAGTGGGGCTCATACGGTTCTTACTGGCAAGGTGCTTGTCCAGGATATTATGATTATACACAACCTGCTCAGGTAAGTTATTTCATTACCCACTCACCACTGTAGACATATGATTATAATCATCAAACTATTCCAGTTTCATCAGTTCAAGAAAAGCCTTCCACACCTCCCCCACCCGGAGTAGAATCTACTGCTTCCAAGATGGATGGGACTGTTACAATGACAAGCTCCATTTCAGCAACTTATGACACATCGTGGTGTACTTCGACTCCATTTCATTCTCAAAACTTCTCTTGTGCTTATAATTATTCACCTGCGCTCCCACCCCGTCAACCGGTCATGTTCGACCCAAGTCCACAGAGGCCTATGATGCCAAACGTTTCGTATTCTTCATATGGTTCTCCACAGTTCCCGTTGCATATGCGAAGTCAGTTAGGGTGTAACTGGAACGCAGCTAGACCTACTTATGGTTATCCAGTTAATGGAGGTGCGGTTCAGTCGTTTGGTATGTGGCCTGACGGAAGACCATCTGTTCATTCCAATGGTTTGGCAGTGACGGGTCCACGGTTTCCATTCCAGAGTACTTTAGGTAAGAAATACGTATTTATGTACGGTTCAAACATTATTGAATACTTGATTTATTGTATCTCGGGGTAGACTGATTTTTGTTAATAGTTATCGAGTTCTTAACCCTCAGATTAAAATGGTTCAGTGGTCAAAACTCTCATCCTTCAACCATCAAGTTACAATTTAAAGCTCCCCCACCTACTTCGGTATGCTAACTCTCGTAATGCCAATTTTTCTCATCTAAGCACACAATTATCTGCTTGATCTCTGATTCACGTTACTGTTATTGCTCATGGGTTAGAATTTAATATTAACTCAGTCTACCTCGGTCTAAGCAGCTAGGAGGCTCCAGACTAATGGCGGTAAACCACATCAACATATTGGCCATTGGGTGGTTACTGGGATGTACTATTTTGTCACAATTGATTGATCACTGGGTGGTGATCAATGTCATGTGTGTCAAGTTCTTATTTAGTGCAGATCGAATGCTATCGACCAAGTTGCAATGTGGCCACCAGTCTAATCGACTCGACACTGCGGGCACTATGTTGAAATTAGATGGTGGTTAGAGGTAGTCGACAGGAAACCCTGGACCCGGGTTTCGTGCTACTTGGCACTCGTCAGCAAGGTCTACCTGTAGTCTTGAGGGAACTGGTGCTCCCCGGTGGATTCGATCCCGTGTCACTCAGCTTCACAGTCAGAGACGTTACCACTGAGCTGGTGGCCACGTTGCAAAATGGTCGATAGCATTCGATCTGCACTGCATAAGGACTTGACACACATGACATTGATCATCACCCAGTGATCAATCAATTGTGATTACATCTCAGTCCTACAGGAGGTCAGTCGCGGCCCAGATAGCTCAGTGGTAACGTCTCTGACTGTGAAGCTGAGTGACACGGGATCGAATCCACCGGGGAGCACCAGTTCCCTCAAGACTACAGGTAGACCTTGCTGACGAGTGCCAAGTAGCACGAAACCCGGGTCCAGGGTTTCCTGTTGACTACCTCCAACCACCATCTGTACTACTTTGTGTTTAAGGTTTCGTCCTGGTAGTCATTGCGAATGTCTACTTCAGGATGACGGTTTCTTTTAGGTAAATATACTGGTCAATTACCTTCATAAACAGGTATACATACCTGATGTATATTTAGGACAGTAAATCTGCTATACAAGATTACATTATAGGTTCGGATTTTGTGTTCAAAAACGTTGATATAATTATCTTTAATCGGGGGGGGCAGTCAGATATAATCGAAGTGGAGCCCAAGTTGTCACACAATATGAGAACGACAATCGAAAAATAAATGAGAGGATTTCAATAATGGCGATATTAGTTGTGATTAGGAAGAGTAAGCATAGAGAATATCTCGAAGAGGAATCGGAAACTAAACATCAAAACTCAAGATCCAGAGGAAGATGCGCTTGCGTCACTTCTACGCACTCTGACTCATGCAGCCCAACGTTTTGGCTGGCCTCAGTCTTGCAGCGTGCACCTATACCGACCAGCATTACTCGACGAGGTGGGGGATTGTTGATCCCACTTAGCTCTTTCTATCCAATCGATTAGTATTCACAGCCATAATCGATACGCGACCCTTCCCCAGTACTCTACACTTAATTTCAGGATTATTTACTTGCTAAAAAATCGACTCAGTTTTTGAGTGGCCCATATTGATCAATCTGTTTTTGCGAAAAGTTGTACCGTACTGCATGAACACATTTATAACTCATGGGACCCGACTTTCTCCAACATAACTTTCATCGTTATAAGTAAGAGTTGGGTGCGTGTTCCTTTTTATAAAGTTCGATGTATAGAGCTCCTAAAAGCATATTAATGACCAAATATGATTGGTTTTGTACGTACTATTTTACGTGGTGACTATTGAGACTAACTTTAATTATCTAGATTCTCCAAACACAGTGGCTATTGAAAATACTGCGAATACCCCAATTTCTAAAGAAGTCTTACAGCAACCACCTGCCAGTTTTCAGGACAAAGGAGCAAAAGAGCAGTGGAGCGATGAACTCAAGTAAGTTTACGGTTAAGAATTTTTAATAACGCCAGTAATTGGCCTTTCCGTGATATGATTGGTTGTTCGGCATCAGTTTCTCAATTTACCGTGAGATATTTCTTAACTAACTCAGTTTATTAACATTTTATTTTTCTGAATAAGTGCTTGATAGGTGTTTTCACCCAGAGATAGAGTTTCAGTAGATATGTAATATTTCGGATGAGTAAGTATGCCTCATCAGATAGACAGGAAAACAAGTGCGCGGGACGCTCATTCATACCTTGTTGTTCTAAGCTATTCAGCAGCTCACCAAGAAAATTAGTGCAAGACAGCCAGTGATAAGTTGATGTATTTAGTTTCCGGATTACTTGGGTTACGTTGGATGTCCCGTTTTATTGGGTCGTGAATAAAATCACTGTCCTTTTCTATTATTTTTGGTATTGTATTGAAAGGTTTACATTTCTGTTTTTTTCACTTATTGGTTTATTAATTCCAAATTTTTTTATAGAGAGTACGTCCAGCGAGCTTTCTGCAGCATTGATACAAGTGAGGAAAAAGATCAAATGGAACGGATTTTAAAAGAAAAATTGGAGTACGTTTTTAGAAATAACATCAAGGTCGATTGGAAGACAGAAAATATCCCAACTATCCCTAGTCGTGCGATTGCTAGTTTCCGTAAATCCTTTAATATCAGGGGTAATTCTGTCAAGTAAGCAGTACTTTAGTGTTTTTTTCTGTCATTGGTATTACCGTGCATCTCTATGCATTTCTTCAAAATCGGTTTAGGTAAAGAAATCGAGGTCGTCCTGTAGTTCACCAGTTATATTGTACTTTCTGGAAAGTAGATATCTGACTTGATCATTGTATTAAATGTCTATTTATTCATAAGATTTCCTGTGACAGGGTTTATTATCACATTATCGGTCAATATATTCCTTCCTAAATAAATGTGAATGTTACTTTGATAAAAACGTTCCACAGTTCCCATAGGTCTTGATGGGTGCACTACCTCTAGATGTAACTAATTTATCGGTTTTCCATCAATTGCATTGATGGCTTATATCGTGTCAATGTTGCCATTGACATGACTGTTATTTGCATGCTTCCATTTGGCCAATCTCTGGGTAGTAAACGCATAATTGGAGGAATAGAATTTAAAGTCTTATCTCTAAATGTTTGTAAGTGTGAAATTGCACATGGTACTGAAGCGAAAGACAATTGTTTTCTTACAGTTTGCTAACTGAAAGTATTGCTACTTTGACACTACACTATGTTGTTCATTGAAGTGTTAGCCATCTGTAATATTTATTTAAGGTGATTATAAGGCTAACTTACGGTGGAGTCTTACTATATTTGGGTCCAGTAACGATCATTCATTCCATAAATCGTGGTATTTTTTGTGTCAGAAGGTAAAGATATAATGATTCTGGTTCAGTTGTAGTGTTGTCAGGAATTCCTGTGCATGCGTCTAGGTACTAATTTCGACTTGTTAGTTTCTATGATCATTTTGCGATAGTTGATCTAAGTCCTTTAAATTTTACTGTACAATTTAGGTTTTAAATTGTCTTTTACTGATATTTATGAGGTTGTCTATTTTGTTTTACTTATTTTAGTGGGACTTAATAAATAAATGATAAATAAACCGAAAGTACTAGTAACACATTTCAGTATTGCTTTAATTTTCCCTAAATGTCTACTCACCTATTAGTGACTGTTTTTAACCTCCTCTTTAAGTTGTAACTCAGTCAGTAAATAACCTAACTGTGACTAATTAGATATTTACATTTTTGAATGAAATCGTTTAGTGTCGTGCGACCTGTTCAACTTCCCAGTCCTCGTGGACTTCGCCCAACGGGTCCATCAAGGGGAGCTCCTGCACGTCTTCCTGTTGGGCTTTTGTCGAGAGGTGGCCGCAATGTGTTTTCGTCTTCAGTTGTTAAGAGTATATCACCATCCAAAAAGTTGCCATCGAAATCTCGCTCACCTAGTCGTTCTCCTGTTTCCAAACCTCTAAAAGATTGGCAGAGAAAACGTTTATATAGATCCAGGTCTAGTTCATCTTCAAAATCACGTGGCTCCCCTCATTCTTCATCCTCAAGTAGTTTCAGGACAAAACGCCATCGGCGTCGGGACTCTCGGTCGCGCTCTGGTTCTCGGCACGCACAGAGAAAAACGAATGATGTAAAGGATTCTCAGAAAAGGTGTGCCAGTGATTTCCATATTTTGGTTTTACTGTATGCATTTTGTTCACACCAATGTATCTAATGGGTTCTAAACCATTTTTTGAGAAAGTTGCTGTGAGCAAACAAATCAGCTTACATTTGTGTGGTGATACTGTTCACTACGTCTAAACATATAAATATTCATGTAAAGGGAAAAGTAAGAATAAGTTCCATAAATTGTCACTTGCATTGAGTTCAAACTCCAGTGGGAACTGAATTCTAGCATATTTTCAGTGTTATAAATGTTCTTGATAGTCCACTGGTTAGTCGAGACTGGTACTTTCTCATAGCCTTCTTTGGTGTTTGTTCTCGTTAGCCTTGGATAGTTGGTCCAATGAGTGGTAATCGAGTGTATTATTTATTTCGAAATGTTGAGTTGCGACCTATTAAATGCTTGAGTTGAGAAAATGTTCAACTTGGACCAGTCAGGAAGACGTTTTGCAGACTATAAAACGTATTTTACTCCATTCTTGTCATGTACGTCCAAGTTAATATAGGTTATTAAATTGTTAATAGGTTTATGTGAATGTAAAACTATGTTTTAAAAAATGTTAGGATTAAATATTTTTAACAGAAAAACGTGTGGGTAGTTCTAAATGGTTGTAAGGCACTTTGATATTATTATTCTCATTTTGCCTAAAGATTCAAACATCTGCGTTCCCCTAAAACCTTATTAAAGTTATTTACAAGTCCATGCATTCTGTATATCTTAATTCAATCTTCGAAAGTATCTAGCTCTGGCATTCTTATTAAATATTTTTGGTAGTTAGAAATTGTGTATTCAATCTCAATAGATGACATTATGAAATTTTGACTGTTAATATAAGGCCTATAGAGAATTATAGAATCTACAAGAGAAAACTAGTGATTTTAGACTATTCAAAACAATGAATATGTCTATTTTCCTCTCCACTCTAAATTCAGTTAACAATTTTCCACATCCTTTCACATTTTACATCGTGCTCCTTTTAAGTTCACTTGAACATAAGCAGGTGTTTCAATATAACTTAATAAGTAATGAAGCCCTTGAATTTTCTAGGAGTTTTTAATCAGCTTTCAGATCCGTTTAATATATGGAATCATTTATTTATAGTTGTATTTAGAACGTATAGGCAATCGAATTTCACTTGGAAGCAGTCTCCGACGTGGTATTCTTTTTCTCTTCTGTCAAATTGTAATAAAATCATGTTTGTTGGGGTTTCCGGCTGGCCTTCGGTAAATTCTATTTACGATGATTCTTCTAATACGACGCAACGAATAGGTAATTTGATAAATGGAATGCCCGTTACACAACGCTTCAAAGTTAGTAGTTCACACGCTAATAAAGAATACAGGACATTCAGGTTGACTTGATGTTCCATACAGAAGTCAGAAATTAACAAGGAACAACTTTATGTAGTAATATGAAATGAACTTGGAGTGCAATTAAGTTACTGAACTGACACATTTAGATGAGATGAATAAGCGACTTATTACCAGGTCGTATGAAGTATAAATCAAAGTTGTCAGACTTGACTATAGCTTTCATTTTGCAATATGTCGCCTCTATTGCTTGCAACCTTATGGTCAGGAATTAGAATATAACATCAACCATTTTTTTAAGCATATCAACTGTAGAAAGTTTAGCTTGCACCGTCAGTATCAAACGGTCGAAGTTTTCTTTTCTACTTAAACCGATCTAATGCTTTGTACTAATCCCTTCAAAATATTTATTAAGATCTCATACTAGTCATGCATATTCCTCTAATCTATGTTCGCTATCTTATGGTAGCCTTCATAAATGTTCACTCTCATCTTTTAGTACACCGCAATTAGCCACCAGGGGTAATTCCAAAGGTAGACGGCGGAGACGCGGTGGTGCTTCGAACGCCGACCCAAGTACGGACGCAAATACCTCTAATGAAGATGGAACAGCTGTAAGGGGTCGTGGACGTGGCAGCTGGCGTGGTAAACGTGGAAATATTTCAAAGCATACTCCTCCAAGTGAATCTCGCCTTACACAACGAGCCAGTAGATTTAAAGATCATCTAGTGCAGTCACCTATTGGATCAGGTTCCATTGGACGAACCACCAGTCAGTTGCTTTCGAATTACACTGACGAACGTGATGATCTAGCTGTTGATTTTGGTAGCTGTCAAATCATTGGTACCATGCAAGAAATAGAAAAACAATACTTAAGACTGACTCGAGTAAGTTTTGTCAGTACCATCGACTGTGTTAAGTATATTCCGTAGTGTTTTTTCAGTTACCCTTTAGTTATGAACTTCATCTTTTACCAGTTCTCTGTAAAAAAATATATAATTTTCTGTAATTATGGTGTATCATAATTTCCTGTGTATGCGTCAACGAACTAGTTGCTCATTTTTATATGTACTTGTTAGCAGAATACTCACTGAGGTTCCTATTCATATACATTTATGTTTGTAGCCCAAGGGTATAATTGTTGTGGTGCATTATGTGCACTGGATGGTTTGGTCATAAAGCTTTCAATGTTTTCATAAACAACAACACAAACTTCAAACCGGTGTTGTACACTATCCCGCACATTTTATCTGTTCCACATAATTTTCATTAAGTTATATTTATGTATAAGGTTGATTACGAATTTTTGACAGAAACTTAGGTGCTCTAGAGGTACCGTTATAATATTGGTAAATAGGTAGTAACCATTATCACATTTGTCCAATCAGGTTTCGATGTTGTCGTTAACCTAAGTGACTCGGCATCACATGCTCTATATTTTGATTTGAGGTGGTTTAAGGTAGCAGAAAACTTTGCACTCACGTTTCTAGCCAGTTGAGACTCGTCAACAAAGAATACCTTCAGTCTTAAAAAGCTGATGTAGTATCTAACTCGACTCACTGAGTTCCACAGTTTGTTACTATTGAACCGCTTCAATCACGAATCACCTCTAGGAAATCTTCGTCACGAAAATTTGTTTGGTAATGGATTATGTATACGCGACTGAGTCCTAGGTGTTATTAGCTTTATTTATTGCTATCAACTGTAATAAGTCACTTGTGTAACCAGGGTGTTAAGTAGAGGTTGCTTGCTTCAGTTTATGTCAACTCTCAACATATGCGTATACACACTTGAGTAAGCAACTGACTTACCGTATTTGTAGTCATTGATTCTTCCGGTAAATCAATTTTATAGTAATTCACTGGTTGTAAGATGACTTTCTCCATTACTTTCAGGCCCCAGATCCTACAGAAGTGCGACCCTTAGCAATTTTGAAGCTTTCTTTGGAGCACGTCAAAGAAAAATGGCGTTCAAATACCGATTATCACTGGGTGTGTGAGCAGTTCAAAAGTATACGTCAAGACTTAACTGTAAGTCGTACTGTTGTTACATTGCGTTTATCGTTATTATATTAAAGGGACTGAAGTCCAAAGTAATTGGAAGTAACTACTATATTTCTAATTTATCGCAAAACCTAAGACATGTCCGCTCTCATCCAGTCTTCTGATATCTATCTGATTGAGGTGACTCAGTTTGCCTCTGGCATCCATTTATCCCTACACGATGCTTTGGATAACACACAGTACATAAATAATTTATTTATTGGATACAGTCGGTGTTATAATGCATGACTTTCTGAACACATTGTGTGCATATGAGAGAAAGTTCCTTGTGTTTTTGCACGCATTCGATGTTAGATGATTCTTAAGAACCTGTATGTTTTAGTATCTTAAGCTTATGTTATAAGCAAATAAACCAACAAATTCGTTTATCTGAATAGTTAATTTAATAAACAAATTTTACAACATGAGGGTGAATGAGATTTTGCTTCTTCATCATTGTCAGTTGGTTCGTTTGAAACTTGACAGATTATTACCATTTATGTGCTCTAGATTTATCCATTTATTTTCTTGATCATAGTTAAAAATAGCTAACTCACTGAATTTTATGACGAGATTGATTATCACTCCTTATTTTTTCATCAATGTCTTTAAATATAAGCTGTTGAACATATTGAGAGGGAAGATTAGGTTGTACCCAAGCTTTCATATTACATTTATCCATGTCGCCTAATGTTTTTAGTCATTTGTTGGATGTATTGCTGTACGTTATTACTATACAAAAAATATCTAGATTTCATTCTTTATTATGTGACTCATGAAGTACAGGTTCATGTAGTTGTTTTCCTACCACACTTTATTCATGTGAGTTAGCGACAATACTCAGCTTCCTAAACGAAACTCAGTGATGATGTTAAAATCTGTGACCTAATGTTTGATAGATAAGTGTTTTTACAATTAAAGACTCCGCTTCGTCGTTACGTAGGAAACGTGTTTTATGTAGTGTTTTTTAATGAATTTCCAACATATTAAATCATTTTAGGTACAAGGTATCGAAGATGATTTTGCAGTATCAGTTTATGAAGCACATGCAGATGTAGCCTTAGAAGCTGGTGATTTTGAAGAATTTCATCAATGTCAAAGTCAGTTGCTCCGTCTCCATAAAGAAGGTTTAGGTGTTAGTAGACTGCTAGAATTTACAGCCTACAGACTTCTTTATTACATCTTCACTCTCGATATTTTAGGTAAGTTAATCGCACTCCGAAAATTGCTTTATTATCCTACTGGAGCTTAGCTTTTCACTTTCAGAGGCTCCGCGTTTCGTGGCATCTTATTAGTAGCCTCAGTAGCTATTTCCATTTTAAGCTTGAAAGTCATCAAGGATATTTTCTTTTAAAAACTACTTCTTATAGGTTCTTTATCCTGATTGACCAGGTGTCTGATTGTCCTTAAATTAACATCATTCTTAATATTTTCTTTCTGTGCGATCAGTTGGTTGTTTTTTTATTAATATCTACTGACTAAATATTCATGAGTCTCAGGAGTGGAAAGAGGTGTTCATTATCTGTATTGGATATATTACTTGACCAATAAAACTACGTTAGATAGAGTAAACGTGCGATCACTGATTCACTTTTAGTCGTTAACCCAATAAACTACAGCCCCATGGAGATGGTGTTATTATTTAGCCTTTAACCGCCGACTTCTGATGGTACTTCTCTTTTCATTTATTGTATTGTGAGTCAAATTATCAGTAGTTGTGTGCATCTGGAAACTGGCCCATATGATCTCTTTCTTTTTCCGTCTACAACATTCAGTAGCTTCACTGATGTGAATATGATTTGGATGTAAGATCAATTTGTTATTTCTAACTGAAAATGTGAAGATTCATAGTACCAGGATGTAAGACAGTTGATTTATGACACTCGTTAAACTAAAGAAGCACATAATGTGAATCAGTCTAGCAAAATACCGTATTTGTACGGCTTCCACCTGCTAGCACTAGTTGCTAAAATGATTTATCTGTTGGAGATCCGTTCATGTCTTTCACCTCATTATTTGAATGTCTTATTTGTATTACTGAATTGGAATATGACCAAATCTTTCTTTATTTCACTAGGTATCAATACTATCATGGCTGGTTTACGTCCAACTCACAAAACTAATCCATGTGTTTCATTTGCTTTAAAACTCCGGTCAGCGTGGTCGTTGAGTAATTATCACCGTTTCTTCAAACTTCTTTGTCCAGCTAATGATGATCAACAACCTCCTTTACGGTGCAAACATGTTGTAAACTGGTTTGTTGATCGTGAAAGAAAAGAGGCTATCAGACTAATGTTTAAGGTGTACGTTGTGTTGTGATTTGTAATAATAGTTTTATAACTTGTAGATGGTATTATTAGGGTTACTAATGGTAAGATTGTTTCTAGCATTAAAAGGAAGAAAAAGCTATACTTAATCATCTAAGTCTGTTTATGATCGTTCAGGGAATGGACTGTTTTTTTCACTTATCACAAATATTGTTTTATTATCACTAGCTAGTTGATTTTATTATAGCTACTGCTATTAATTAATTATTTCGACTGATACTAGGAAGAACTATGACAGTGGTCATCATCACAACACAAGATAATGATAGTTTATGTGATGCTGTTAATATTTCTTCTGCTTTAACCGATTGCAAGATCTCAGTCATTACAAAATTCAGCGCCTTAAATATGGTTTCTATTTAGGGTAAACAATTTTGAAATGATCATTGGCTTAATAGTCACCCAGATCTCGTAACCAATGGTTGGAGACTCGGGATGACATGGCTCAGAATCGATCACAAAGGCGTGGGTGTATACACTCTTTGTCTTCTCTTAAACCGTGAGATTAAAATTGCTTTATACCTTTCTACGAACTGATTCTTTCTCCCTGTATTATATCATTATATCAAATCTTTCTTTTATATGTTACTACCATTGAAGTAACTATTTCTATGAATTCGGTGTTCACCTTGTTGTGCTAATAAGGTGTGGTAACTTGGACAGATACATATATGTACCTGGTCGTACGTTGTAGCTGACTGACTGACTAACAGTCAATGTTGTAATCTTGATAAAGTTTCAGTTGAAAATGTTTCCTTACGTAGCGTGATCGTACTAAAACTGCACAAATATTGAACACCAAAACTGTCCACGTATCAGTTTTTTTTTTAAAAAAAAGCAACTATTAGGACATTTTATGCAACAAATATTTGGAATTTTACGAATTTTCTTTCACCACTAGATCATGTCACTTCATTAATTTTAAAAGTCGGATGTGTTGTAGCTCACTAACTGACAGATGCGTTGAAAGCGTAAGCTCATTAATATTTAAGTTCTTTGTGTCTATTAGAACGATAGGCCTATTTTTTTCCTTTGCAGTAATCATTAATATGTATACTCAGTTAGCCTTTGACATCTAATCTAACTTTTGTGCCCTCAAATTTTGACGATTACTTAATATTAGTCAGGTTAATGTTTAACGTTATGTGTTTTAGTATATTTTTTGTGCCTATATCATATTTATCCGTCCTAGTATGTTTGTAAGTTGTGGTAGTTTACTTTTTAATGAAAATTAATTTCATGGACATGTTCCTCTTTCTCTCTTCTTGTACTTCATTTGCTATCGGGGAAGTCTGTTTCTTGTTAATTTTGATTCGATGCTTTCTACTTAAGTATACGTATATGCACTTAATTTTTGTAATTAAATTTTTTCTTAACAGATTTTTGTGCTTCCTTCAAAATCATAAATCTTTAAGGTATACGGCTTTGTAATCTTTTTACGTATTCAGTTCATGTTTATGTTTTAATTTTGCATACTGATAATTCTGAATTTTTTTCTATTTACTACTATCTGCAAATATCGTTTACGTGAATTTCGCTTGATGCCCTCAACGTATTCGTTTGTTTTCAATATGGATTCTTCCACTACACTTGCTAATGTTAATTGCTTATTTCAATTATGATCTTTTTTTCCGATCTTTCAAACCCATTTCCTACGAAATATCCCCACTATTTTTAGTTTCCGTCCTACAATAAGTCTTTCGTTTATATCAAAATTAATCGGGTTTTCCTCTACTGCTTTATGTAAAGATTTTATTTGTAAAGAATTTACTCTACCAGAATCCAATTTGGAGCCGATAGAAAAAATCGATGCGAAGGTGGTTTGGAGTCTTATGTGTTCACAGTCAACATGAATCGATGCTGCTACTTCATCGTTCATCTGGATGTGCGTTCCTACAATGTGGCACTAAATTCTTCAGTGACGGTTGTATTTCGTAAATAATATCAGATTATTGTACATAAGTTTATATATATTATCGGAATAATTTTATTTCCACATATTTTCCATTGTTCTCATTGTCTTGGTTGGGACACGAGCGCTAAAGAAAATTCTATATATGAAAGTCTGTCTTACTCAAGTAATTTTGCCGATCACCACGTGGTGTCTGACGCTTCGTCTATAGTTAAGTTGCAATGTTACACTGGCAGGTGCTTGCTTAGCTTAATAAGCTGTAGTGTTAGAAGTTATATAATGTGTACAATCTGTATTCGCATCTTGTTACCGTACTCATAGTTCTAGGTCATTTACACTCAGATACTCACAAGACTTACGGTCTGAACAGAGTGTACCATTAACATTTATTAATATGTTGCTTTCACAAAGATGGACTGATCCAACTTTTGGATGCAATGTCTTTAGTATGATACGCAAATATCTTTGGCAATTAGGCGCTCTGCTGTATGGGTGTCTTGTTTGGTCCGGATTTATGGATTAGTCTTATTCCTAGCATGTCATGTTTTATCTTGAGGGATAACTGGTGTAGTACAGCAATTTATTTCAATAGTCAGGTAAGGTTTATTGAAGTAAACTGAGTATGGAGCAGCTGGTTATTTGTATTTTCAGAGGAATACACGTCGATAAAGTTCTTTGTTTCAGTGCCAAATATTTCGTTCAGTAACATTCCTTAAGTCTGTCTAACTTGTGATGCAAAGTGGAGGAAGAAGAATCGAAGTGAGTGTAACGTCTCAATGAACGTGAAAATAGGGACTGAGAAATATATTATCCCGAATAAGTTTTATAAAGACGGTGAAGTAAGTGTTTATTAGTCTGTTTACATTTATTGGATTGAACTCAATCCAATACTAGACTGATTTGCAATCTGTCGGACTTAGCAGTAACTTATGAGTTGTGTAGCGAGCAGGAGTTACTCTTTGTAAGAGCTCCAGTTTGTAGTATGCATTAAAGATAATGTGGAAGACCTGTGTTTTGTGAGTGGTGTGTCGTCATAACGCTCGTTTTATGAATTTTCTCCCCTCAGTTTAAGCCTCATTCCTTCCAGACGCGGACTGGCATATTTAGGAAAGGGTATTGAGTGTTCGGTGTCAAATGAGCCGACGCGTTGTCACCAGTCTAGTATATTGTCATGGCTGGGGCCACGGGCTCGACGTTCATAACTTTTACAGTAGTTGGACAAAACTTGTGCAAGGGGTTACTTCAATGCAGTCAGAAGCATGTTGGTTTATTACACACCTGTTATCATAGACTGCATTGGTACGTAATATGTGTGACAGTACTGTTGGTGTAATAAGTGCGGTTGCTATGGTATTGGATATATTCAGCTGTTTGAATAGTTACACTCACAATCGCACTGGGTGATTGTCGTCTGCCTCCTGTCACGTTTGGACGTTACTGGATCCTCCGAACTGCTGTAAACTTAATACATCTAGCTCATTTGTAAGCCAACCATCCTTAAACAGTTTTCACATCCTCTAGAAGGATTTCGAAGTGATTATCATATGAGTTGAGGAGGCTTAAATCTGCTCCTGTGTATCAAAATGTTTTGCTACATGGTAGTGTAAGTCGATTTGTATTGGTAAACAGTTCAGTGTCGTTCACAGCATTTGGTTAAAGCACTTGGGCCATGTACGTGCCATTGTCAAGCTAATTTAACAGCTGTCGGGAGATTGATTTGTACTGGCTATGCGTGAGTGCCTGTCCTAAGATGGTGGTCACTTAAATCACAAGCTTATATCCTTATATGAAATCTTTTACATATTACTACTATTGAAGCAACTACTATTTATTTGGTGTTCATCGTGTTGTGCTAATGAGTTGTGGCAACTTGAACTGATGCATACATGTGCCTGGTCCTACGTTGTAGCTGACTGACTGATCACGAGGCAGTTGCCTGGTTTGCTGTGAGGGGCTGATGTAACGCCACTGAATCCCAAAAAGACATTTAGTAAACAGTTCACCGAATATCGCACAAATTGCCATTCCAAGTCAAGGTCAAATAAAATCAACGGTCGTCGATCAATCGCTTACCATGGACAGGTGCTTTGATGGGTTTTTGAGTCGGGGTTTTGACGTGAAGTTTTATAGCAACAGAGTGGACATCACAGAGTTTCATGGTAGCTTTTAACTGTTCGTTAGCTGAGTCCCCTGCTGGACTGATCGTGCTTGCCGTATCTTAGTGTAACTATCACATAGAGGCTTTCCAAACAAGGATATTTCATTCTTACTCTTAAGTCACAGAAAATTCGTTACAGTACATGTGGCGGTGGTTTTGTTCTGTTTCTTTTTGCGAGTACTACTGAAACATTTATGTAATAACGTTATGTTTCTCTTCACACATCATTATGTCAGATGACAACGTCTATTGAAATTACATCCTATCAATTAACCTTGACTATTTTGATTGTGTAGTTAGGAGTATCTTAGTTTCATGTACACTGAGTATAACTGAGTGCTGAAGTTGTTGGTAGGGCTATTCAACGATGTACTGTATGAATTTGGCTGACAGATTATATGGGTGAGTCGTTTTCCCATCTGATTTTTTTCATGAACCGATCCAAGTTAGATAATCATTTGGAACCAGATAGCACTGAAGTCATTGCCAGTTGAGTTGAACAGTTGGGTGTATTAGACAGTTACTCATTAAATACGATCAAAGATGGTGACGCGATAAGGTTGAAGTTAGACATATACACTGTTTGATTTCACCTCAGTGATCTAAGGGCTAGACAGCAGTGCACTAGACGTAAGATGCTGCATCTGATCATATGTGTCGGGATTTGGGAACCTCACTGATGAGACCTTCCATACGGGACGAAACATGTCAAGTGATTTTAGGTGTCTATGTGTGTATAACGTAGGTCGGTTTTTGTTATCAAAAACTATAATCTTTGTACTAATAGTCTCTGCATACTTTGACAGCTTATCAAGACAGATGATTTCGACATATATATGACAGACTTACAAAAAACTTGTGTTCTTAAAGGGTTTGATCAGTCAGTGGAAAAGGCCACTAGCTCTATCTTTTTGAAACCAAAAGATCAAGATATCTTCTGAGAAATATTAAAACATGTATAATCCAAAGCATTTTAATTTTCTAGAACTATAACTATTCAATGAATTTACAATTCGTTTTAACTTCCAGCACCATCCAAACATTTACTTTATGCTCTTCAGATTATATTTTTTAGTCAATATGATTGTCAGATATTGCAATTTTGTAACGAACCTATCTTACTTAGATTTATGTGTTTAAATCAGCGTGAGCCTGTATGGTAGCCAGTGACCTAGAAACAATAGTTCCAGGCAAAACTCAACATTGTGATCATTTGTCAGATAATCATACTTAGTGACAGTATTGTTTATTTAGAATGCGCGTTCTGGATTCCACTGCTAGCCACTTTCCGTCTTTGCTTAAAATGCTTATGACTTAAGGCTATATCGAGGCCATCCGAACAGGATGCACATATGCCAACATGAGACTGATCAATTGCAGTCCTAAATAACGATCGGAAGATACAAGTAAAACAATACCAATTGAATTTAAACTTCACCCCATTGCACAATCAGGTGGCCATCAGAAATCAGTAGCTAAGTGACTATCGTGATGGCGTTTGAAGCGAACGATACTGGCTTCGAGTCCCGGAGTGAGCATCACTCTGCGATGCAGGTACATCCAACTGACGAGTTCCAAATAGGACGAAACATGCGTCCTGGATTCTACTGTTAGCCACTATCTATCTTTGTTTAAAAAGTTTGTGACTTAAGGCTATATCGAGTCAATCTGCTCAGAATACACATATATACCGACATGAGACTGATCAATTGCAGTTTAAAATACAACAACAATGGAAAGATACTATTAAAACAACACCAAGTGAATCTAAATAGGTTATGCTATTTTTTTATATTAAAAACATTGTTTCAGATATTCTAACCATCATTCATTTGTTTGTAGATAATTACTAAAGCAAATAATAGACATTAAGGGAGCATAACATATTGTTTCTTTCAAAAAGCAATAAAAATGTAGAACAAACAAGGGAATATAGATCTTATTATAAAATATAAGAATAAACAACTACATTGTCACCGATCAATATGAGATATAAAATACAATTGTTTATTCGGAAGTTTTATTGAAAATGTAGTAAAAAAATGGGAAGGAATTCAGACGAAATGATACTTATTGAAAATTAGCTGTTACATTTCTGTTCAATATTGAGTTAAAAAGAAAACTAATATAGAATATATGGAAATTATGAATGTTGAATTTACATACTGAGTATTCGAATACTCATGTTTTGTATGGACTATGAGCATTTCGTTGTGAGAGAAAATTTATTTAATTTCAATTGTAATTTTAAATGTAGTATCATACATTTTGTTCCTTTAAGCATCTAAATCATATGTTACCTAAAAAACAATCAAGGAAACACAGTTACACTAAAATAAAGACTATTATTATTATTATTATTATTATTATTATTATTATTATTATTATTATTATCAGAAGGGGTTTTTTGGGGAGTTTAGTAATTTCATTAGTTGAAATCATGAGTCAATTGAAGCTAGACAACCATGGAAAACCTGGAAGCACTGGGCGGCCGTTTCGTCCCAGTATGGGACTCCTCGGCAATGCGCAATTCCGTGGATCTGTTGAAGTTAGACATTAACACCGTTGGATGTCGGTCCAGTGGTCTAATGTTTGAGCGCTCGCGCGCGAGAGTGATAGGTCCTGGGGTTCGAATCTCGCAGGGGGTATGATCGTGGATGCGCACTGCTGAGAAGTCGCATACTGGGACAAAACGGTCATCCAGTGCCTCCATGTTGGTTTAGCTTCGATTGACTCATGATTTCAACTATTGAAATTCTTATTATTATTCATCTTGTAGATGT